ATCAAGAAAAACATTGATGGTTCTTATAGAAGCTATTTATAAAAAATAACAAATACGTGGTTTTATTATAAAATACTAGAATGAAATGCGAAGTATCAATTTAAATTTATTTTGCTTATTTTTTGACCAAAAGAGTTGAAATAGGAGAATCATTACTTGTATGAAACTAATTTCGAATAATACAATAAGTAAATATAAATAAAGCCCATAGAAGCTATTTACATTTTAGACAACTACGATGCAGATAATTTCAAATTGAACTTTTAGATAATTATGTCGCGTGCTCGGTTTTAGAAAGTTACCACTCATGTTATTATAAATCTATAAACGAGTAAATAGGAACATTGACATCTACACGAAATTGATAGTAAAAACCTTTTCTTTTGTTTTTTAGGAGATAATGAACTCATGTCGGCATTAGTAATCATTAATAAGATACAAAATAAGTTTTAAAAATAATTGTTTTGATGTTATCATCATTTCTTTCACCCAAAGAGACGTTGTAGAGTGAAACAATTGTGGCGGTTAATCAAACAGTTTTGAAGTTTTGTTTGATATTTGCGAAGTGTATTAAAATAGGGTTTTAACAACTTAGCACGTGGATTTTTTAATGTATTAGACAGATGATTCAGAGACTACACAGTATCAAAATCATTTTTTGTCCTTGCTGATTGTACATCTCCACAAAGTTGAAGTGGTTCGTGGCTGTGATGAAATATATGTATGCATAAACAAAGCAATAAGTATTACAAATTATTAAATTTGTAAGAGGCCGTAAATGATAATTTTTTTATCTAATTACAACATCTAGTATATGGGCTTTGTTTAATAGATAAATACAATATTAAATAAAATATAGCTTAAAATATCTACAATAAAACTTAAGGACCCAACATTTCCTTTTGTTATAGGACGTTTTGTTGCATCTAGATACATAAATAAAGGGTACTGATCTCAATTATTAACAGGATGATCTTAAGCAAACAAATAAATAACAACAAAATAATAACTTAAGCAAGCATTAACACTGGTTGGGTTACANAAGGACCCAACATTTCCTTTTGTTATAGGACGTTTTGTTGCATCTAGATACATAAATAAAGGGTACTGATCTCAATTATTAACAGGATGATCTTAAGCAAACAAATAAATAACAACAAAATAATAACTTAAGCAAGCATTAACACTGGTTGGGTTACAATCAGAAGGCTACGGTAGGTAAAGACAGCACGTACGAAGTGGATGTTGTCGCAATCGTATATTTTCTTTTGTTTAAATCAAATTGTTTGTTCACACATAAACCTTTTTACTTTATTATTAACCATGATTGCTGTTCAAATTTGATACAATATTTTTTTGTAGAAACTAGCAGTTTCGTTACAGAGAGTTAGCAAATCTAATCTAAGGAGTTAGTAGCAAAGCGTTTTGTTGTAGGGAATTCAATAGTTTTCAGTTTTCACATTTTTATAAAATAATTTCGTTTATTGTTAGTCAGTTCGTTTTCTTTCCATGTTAGAATTGATTCTTCGCGGTTTATTCAGTTTCATAACTAACTCATCGATTATTATACCACCGTATTAAATGAAGTGATTTTATGCTCTGTAGACGATGAATTATGTAAGATTTTTAATTAAACCAGATATGAGAATGGTTAATATTATCTACCGAAGATGGAAAATACTAATTATGAATGCTATTGTTTCAGATTTAGCAGTTTTTTTAAACAAAAAATATGTCGAACGAAAACACGTACATATATATATATATACCAGAAAAGAATAAATTATGTTTTTTCTTGTGTTATTGGGGTCGTTGGTTTAAATTCTAAAGTGCAATACAGAGGAATACGGTAATCAAGGGCCATTAAAACATTAGAATCTATTTGGTCATCGACTGTAATAATGCTGGTAAGAGTCAAAGCAACAAAGGCAATTTAGCCGTGCATGTCGTTTTTGCAATTTGTTTCCTACTTATGGTACTTACTCGTCGTTGTTTGTATTGGACTCAGACGTTGCTCCCTTCGGTTGTAAGGATTTTGCACTTTTTTCCGAGATTTTCTTCGAAAGCGTCGGTAACTCATTGCACAAAGTTTGCTTCATTTTAACTATTGTAGATACGTACTTAATGACAGCAAAAATAATAAACAAAAATATTAAAGTTGTTAAAATAAAAAAAAGGCACTTGTTTAGTTCAATATCAAATTGTGATTATTAGAAAGAGTTATAGTTTTTTCACAATTTCCCGATTTCGCCCAGTCACTTATCACCATATTGTGTTCGTTGTATTAACAAAACGCGGTATATTTTTTATGAATGAACGAATGGTCGACGACACTCGATCACCGAATGTAATAACACCATCCATACAACAACTTACGACGTCTGAACTGTAACTGACTTTAAATTAACTTGCGCCTAAAATGTGATTTAATTTGCTTGGTCAATAAAATTATAATTAGCGCTCGATGAGCAGCTCGATGTCCGATTGTGATATCGGAGATATTGTGAGGATCATCTCGAGCTTATCTTTTATTTATAGAAAGTGCCCTAGCCGTGTACTCATCGTCAGTACTGTACATAAACAATATAGTTTTTCTTCTCTGGAACAAAAGCACAGGGGGGGATTTAGGAAATGTTATGTTTGATCGCTCTTACACAAAAATTTATATCAGGGCAGAAAGTCCGTGTTTAGAAGGGGCAAAGGGGGTGCCTGCCTTGGGCACCAATCTGAGGGGGTGCAGAAAGAACTTGAAATTTTGAAACTGTTTTTTCCAAAAAGTGAATAATTTACACGGAGAAAACTAAATTTTTATAACAACGCAAAAATTATAATTTTCGATTGTAAATGACTGAATTTGCCATAGAAATAGTAGAATTTATTAGGTAACTTGTAATA